CCAGAATTCTTGAGAAACTGTTCAGCACGTTTTGTGCCATAGAGTGATTACCAGCTTCAAGGTTAAAATTAAAAATCCTGCATCAGGGCCAGGCCAGAAAGGATCTGCAGGTGCAGATAAAGAGGGTGTCCACATAAAGCCCCCCTTTTCTTGACCATCAGAAAAGTGTCAAGGAAAGCACAAGTATTGAGAAAAAATTATCAGTAGAACCCTTGTTGGCCTACATTGTTTTGAAAAGTCAAGTCAACTTGTCAGAGAAGGAAACCTGATACCATCAGCACCAACTCAAGACTGGGGCATATTTAAGGTTTTGGGAAGAGATTAGGTCTCGACAATTAAACAGAAAGAAAATGCCAGCTAGAATTTTGTAAGTGAAACCCGCCGGGGAGATCCAAATGCTCAGTGCACAAATCGCCTGTCAGCCTTGGGAGGCCAAGCTACGGGAATACCCAGCTGTCCCTTGCACCAAACAGCTAAGGCTAGAGACCAAGGCTCCCGAGTAAAGAGCACATGGTTAGAGACTGGCTGTGGCACTACCCACTCCCTTGCCTTTAGAAAAGGCGCATCTCCATGCCAGTATGCAGCAGTCCCCACAGTGAACCTGCAGCTCCTACGAGGAAAAGGCCCAGAGTTGGGAAATGGCCGTGCCTGCGTGGAGACCAAGCAGTGCCACAGGCTATGACTCAGTCAGCAAGTAAAGGCTCTAGGCAATGTGGAGCGATCAGTTAAGTTAATAGAGACAAAAGTGGAGTAACGGTCAAGCTCTTCCTTCTCTGCAAAAGAAAGGGCAGGACCCAGAGCATGAGCAAACATCTTATGACAGAATCCAAAGATTTACTGTACAGTAGCATCCAGGCTTCAAATCACCACCAAGTTAGGATCCACCATCAATAAGCTGATCTCTGTCTCCTACACTATATCCAACTGCCAGTTTTCTCACTCAGACCGCTGAACTGAGGAACGAGAAAAGTCCAAGACGGAAGTGAGATGCCTTCTACAACCAAGGCGCCTCCGGTAAAGGGAAGGGCCATAGGAGGAAAACCTGCTTCTCAGTGTTGGGCAATTTTGAGAAAAAAGACAGCAGGGGTGGGCAGCAGAACTGATGTAGTGGGGAGTGGACGGCCATGGTGCAGAAGCAGAGCCCACACCTTCACCAGCAGGCCGCGCCATGCAGGACACCCTGGACCTACAAAGGGCACAGACAGCACCCTGCACCCAGGGGTGTCAGGGACAGTGCTCAGGCCCCTGTGCGCAAGGACGTCCAGATGGCCAGAGGCCCCAGAGTCTAAGGCAACAGTGCTGAGACCAGCACGGGGCACAGAGCACAGCAAGCCTCCAGCTGCTGGACAGCCAAGTTCAGTGAGGATCCATGGGAGTCCACGGGAATCTGAGGCTCCCTTCTTTCTCCCACCACAAAATCATGTCAACTTCTCCCCCTGTCACAGGCCTGGTCATTAGACAGGGAAAGAGAAAATCTGAGCAGCTGGGTCTGCAGACGAAGAGCCCGAGCAGCTGCCTGAAAGGATCTCGAAGCCACAGTCTGGCACACAGTGTATTTATCAGGCTCTACTAAAATTTATGCACTTCCCGTTTTCAGATGCAGTGGTTTCTGAGGGAGACCAAGTGAGGTATGGTTTAAAAACAAAAACAAAACAACAAAAAAAACACCTATAATTTCTTTGCACATCTGTGGGTAATAGAGTAATTTTATCATTCTGCCACATTACAAATTAATAAGGAAATAGTGTTCAAAAAACCAATTAACAAGAAAACTTTTATTGATAGAAAAGCAAAACAAATTTTCCATGAATTCTAGTTTTATTCTGTCTGTTGGATAGCGTTGAGCTGAAAAATCAGTTTTTCCTAGTATTATTCTTGTCATTGTTACTTTTCTTTCTACAAAACAACCCAGTGAAATCTAAAGTGTCAGGGAATATTGCTGCCTCCAACCACCTAAATATAACAATACCACCCTTTAAAGTTAGTTAAATTCTTATTCTTAGCTAGCACTCCTTTGAACACAATTACATTATTGGGTTGGTGACATTACTAGATATTGATGTTAAGTCATCAAAGCTGTTTCTCAAATGTTATCAAAAAAAAAAAACAAATCAGAATCAGATTCATGTGATGTCACAGCCCTTATCAACAGGTCAAATCATTCTGACGTGAACTATGACATCTGTAAGTCGCCGTCACCAGCGCCATAAGAGGAAGGCCAGAGAGGCGACCTTCTAGATTCTGACCTGCACAGGCCTGGGCCTCAGGAGCCTGACCACATGGAAGCTGTGGGCTCCGGTCTCACCTAAAGCTTCCACAGGAAATCAGCTAGCAAATACTCAGCTGTATCCACCAAAGAGCATTTAAAGCACCCATTTTCACACTGGAAAAAAATAGAATTTTAATCATTATCTAATTAATTTAATTGACATAGAAATGGTGGCGAATTCAAATGCCAAAAAATTTTAAAGCTAATTTATCCATATTTTCCCCCAAAATACCCATCAAACTAAACAGATAATGGTCATATTTTACTTCATCTTTAGCTAAGCAGCTATACATTGTATCTCCGCACAAAGTTCCTAAACCCCATTTAGATAATTTTTCTTTCTACTTAGATATTTAGACCACATAGATATGGTCATAAATTCATTATCAGTTGAGTCACTACGAAAGGAAGCTTATCTAATTATCAGTTACCCGAGCCAACCAAGACTCTCCCCTTTCATTAAATAAAGAGAAAGTCATTCAGATTTGACCCCAGAGAAATAAGTACATGCATATACCTGACTTCTCAGTATCCTCTCTGGATAAGAGGGTGGAACAACTGTTTCTACCTCATTCTTCTAATGACAGAAAAGAGAATACAAAAAGTCCATTGCAAATTTGTACAAAATGTATGCATATATAAATACATATCTATGGGTGTATATAAACTCTAAAGAAGATTATATCCATCTACATCTTTAAGGTTCAGAGTCCTACAGAGTTGACATAGTAATATTCTCTCTCCAATTTTCTCATTTTTAAGAACAGTAAGAATCAAGCATGCCACCTTATTAATACTGAATAGCAAGTGCAGAAGTTGAGCTGTAGCTATAGGGATTTGAAGCAATTAGTTTGACGGGACATCAGTGAATAAAATCCTTAAAATAAATTTAACTATTTCAAGCCTGCCTTTTGTTTCATATAAATGAAGCCCAAATGCCCTGTTGGTAGCTTCCCAAACTCCTGAGACTGTCCACTGAACTCTGTAAGAAGCAATACTTTAAAGAGGGTCTGTGCAAATCGCTTGGATATGTGCTTATTGCAGTGAGTTGTTGAGGGGACCAGATTCCTACAATTTCATGTAATTCCCTTGAGAAATCTCCAGTGACACCACCAGAAGCTTAGGGTTCTGTGTATGTTGAACTCAGCATAAATTTGACTCACAAATGACATTACCTTTACACAGAGCACAATTTAAAATACTGAAACATTGTCATATATTTTAAAAATACACAATAAAATTATAGCATGGATGTGTGTCCATGTGTAGAGATATTGAGATCTATTTTAAAATGAGATACATAATGTTTTTATTTCCCTTTTTGCTCTATTATTTTGTGGGGAGGAAGTGTATAGGACAACTTCATTAATGATCCCCTAAAGTGCACAGGCCATTTCTTGGATGGGGATTATTATTGCATGCCTCGACTGCACTGTGATCCATAAGGCAAGAACATATGAGTAGCTTCAGCACCAAGGAAATAGAATCATCATCCAATACTCACAACAGAACATCTTATTGCTTTAATCAATGGGAAACTATTCACTGTAAAAAGTGCATCAAATAAGGGGAAGAAAGTAATATCCATGCACTTAGTGGAGCTCATTGGAAATAAGGAATCCCGTCTAAGTTCCTAAATCTATTCAAATTTCCAAGTCTGAAATCCATTCTGTAATACCGCATTATAAAGCTACAGCAGGGTGAGAGTGAGTTACAAAAACTAATGGACTTTCTTCTGCACAGTGCCTTAGTCTTCTGGTGTACAATGTAGATTTCTGATGCACTACAGGATTCCCTAGTGGCCCGAGGGAGTTAATGCACTCTTTTACCTATCACTGGGAAGTGACTAAGGCACTGGAGAAAATCTGTTTCATTGTTTAATGTATTGTACCCAAAGATTATACCTGATCTTGCTAATATTACAATATACATGCTTAAGTGATGATTCTCTGTGCTTCAGGAAAATACTTGAGTATCTAGTGGGTCACCAAACTTAATGTTGTTATTGAATTTTTTTATAAAAGATGTAGACTGAGCTTGGGCCATTTAATACATGATCTAAAACCCCAGAGGTAATATTATACATAGGAGCACTTATGTCTGGAACCAAGACATAAAATTGGGGAACTACTAGGTATTTGGGAGAGGGATACACTTTATGGGCACTGTTACCTTACATCTTACGGGTTAGTAAGGGCTCTTTTGGTTGAACTTTTTCTAGAGCATTCTTATTAATACATTTTCTGGATACTTGAATAGCTGTCAAAAAACTGGTTTCCAAGAAAGTATACCACTGTATATATTTAAGGTGGTAACATGTGTCTAGCCCCTTCTATCATCAATCCACGGGAAACAAAGTGGTAGGTAGCCATAGGTGGACGCCACTTCTAACACAGATGCTCTTGTCTGGCTTTATGAGAACAAAAACTTGATCTTCTCTCACTTTCCTTTTTACTCATTTTTTCCTCATGTATTCAGTGACACACATACAAAAGAGTTCCTTCTTTGCTGCATCTTAGATGCAGGCACACATTTCTAACAGGAAAAAAAAAAGCTGCTAACCTTTTTAACTTCTCCTGAAACATTTTAACTTCTCTTGAAATTTGCATGTCCTGTCATCCAATTGCCCAACATCCCCACCAGTCTCACCTCCAAACACATACAGTACAAGCAAGCACACACACCACTGCTTCCAAGTGGTAACTGCATGCAGGGAGGACTACAGGCACTGTTTAAATATTAACCAGGTTTTAATAGATGGCATTCCTGCACATCCATTATTTGTTTCTGTTGTTGTTGTTTCTGTATTCGCAAAAGAAAAAGGGAAACATATGTGTCATCTTTTTATAACAGTCTACTACAGAGGAAGGTACAAAAGAACACTTCTGGAAATAGCAGAAGCCAGGCCTACACCACTGGATTCTCCATCCAGTGTTACCATTATATCAACAGCTAGAAATTAAGAATAAGAATATACAGTTTGGAGGACACAGTACAGAATTGTAGTTTGCTTCTGTATTTGGTACCAATATAATAAGTATATAATAAAGGTGCACTTGTTCTAAAAATAAAACGAACATTCTTGGATTGGTTAGATACTGCATTTTCAGTACTGCACATCACCTAATACTTTTTTTTTTTTACAAAAAAAGGTAACTTATGCAATGTTTAATAAGAAAACCAATAGTACACACAAACCCTATTGTAGAAAAAGAAGAAACCAACAAAAATCTAGAATAGTCACTTTCCAAAACAGCCCCCCTCCACCTGCACAACCAGAGAAAGTAACCAGCTCAGAGAGGTGATTTCAGCACCTGACCTAGATGGACAGCTCCCGGATCCGCTGAATCCTGAAAATGTCAGGAGGCAAAGATACACCAGTAGGGGTGAGACAAAGAATTAGATTCTTTAAAATTCATTTAAATATTTCAATTTACTGATGCTCGGCCAGCGAGGGACATTTCTAAAAGTAAATTAAAATGCTTAGTCTGGAAAAAAAGAATGATTAACCAAGGGATGAGTAAAGAGCTGACCAGAGAGCTGCCACTGTCAGATGCATATTTTTTTTTTCCCTGGGACTGTCCTTGAGGCCTCTTCTAGATCTGGTACCTAATGGAAACTTTTAAAAATAACATACTATTGCCTGAGCCCAGCTGAGGGTGGGAATGGAGAAGGGAGGAAGCTGAAGGAAAAGTGTAAGTTGGGGGGGGGGAATGGAAGGAAGGGGAGGGAAGGTAACTAAACCTTAACTTGACAGCTATGTACAACACACTAGGCCCCCTTCACTCCCTTTGCTCCAGGGGGTCAATGTCTTATATTATTTGGTAGCTTAAGCAGTTTCTCCTCCTTATCCAGGGGTTGCAGGGTGGAGAGGGAAGACACATCTTTCATTGACAATGAGAAATTATGTGATTTGTCATGCGCTTGGATTGTGTTAGTAGTATTATAATAATTACTATAAATATTAATAATAAAGTATTATTGTCAGCATTATTTCTTCTTCCGAGACTTTCCTTGCCCAATATTTACAAATACCGCACAGTGCCTCGGCGGAGGAGAAACAGAGAGGGCAGATAAGGAAAGAAGGAAGAGGAAAGAGGCCAGACAGAGACAGGGGCAAGAAGGGTGGGAGGGAAAAAGCCAGGATGACAAAGATGCTGAAAAGGAGAAATGGGAGAAGAGAAGGGCTGGACAATCAAGACAGTACCACTGTTTGCAAAAGACCCTCGCCAGATGTGTCCGAACAGGAAGAGGCTGCGTGTGCTCCTTGCGGGCTGGGGGCCGGTGGCTGAGGAGGAGAACTAGGACCCTGGCATGGGAGGCCAGGAGATGTGGAGGCGGAGGAGGAGGCATGGGAGGGGGCAAAGAAGGCAGAGTCCCGGGGCTGCCTCTCCAGCCGGGTTTCTTTTGCATGGGTCGGGGCCTGACCACCTGCCCGCGGCAGCCCCCTGCCTCCGTGGCTGCCGCTGCAGTGATCTCGCTCATATTCCTCCTGAGCCCTCTGCATCTTCCGCTTCTTCATCCTACGTTTGTGGATGTGAAAGGTGGAGAGGGACAGCACGATGAGGCAGAAGATGAGGGTGACAAGGACAATCAGCACCAGCGTAGAGGAGAAGGACTGGAAGAGCTGCTGTCCCACCTGCGTGATGCAGGTGCCACCACTGCCTGTGCTCACACCACGGGCGCTCACGTTGCCGCCGCCGCCGCTGCCGCCGCTGGCATTGGGGGAAGCAAAGGTCCGGTTGAGGAGACAAGGCGGCAGAGCCAGCCCCAGCTCCTTGGGCGCCCTGGCACTCATCGGCGCTGGGCTGGGAGGGGCTGGGCCCACCAGACTTCCTCTCTGGGCACACGGTTGTTCCCACCAGCCAAGAAGAGGACTGAGCCCACGCCACCCAAAACTACTCCCTGATGCGGGAGGGAATGTGCTCGCGAGCAAAGCACTGAGGGAGCAAACTGCAGGCAAACAAGCCAGCCAAGGGAATCGGCAGTGCCCAGGAGATCCTCGCCAGACCCGCCTGGAACGCGTGTCCGTGCGCCCTTTTCCTTTCCCAAGGCACCAGGCTGCAAAGAGAACAGGCTTCGTTAGGATCCTGGCAGCTGCCCAGGGGAGTGGGGAAGACCTGAAGGATCAGCCGCCTCTGCAAAGCGGCTCTCCTCTGGGGGCACATCGCCTCATCTGGGCGCTGCCGGGTCTACCGTCTGCTCCGCAGCTGAGGACCCCAGCCCGCTGACTGCAGCCGCACACCGGAGCCTCCGGGCTTCGCAGTGCTGCTGCTGCTCACCCGAAGGGGTCTGAGCTAGCACTAAGGAGCTGCATATTACTCAGCAGATAAGGCAGCTGCTAGATGCCTTCCACAACTTTCTAATTGCAACAGACACGCAGCCGCCTAGGAACACAGTCCCTTCCTCCCAGAGCGCTGACTCCCCTCTTCCCTGCACCCTCTCAATGGATGTTTTTGCTGGATTTTACCCTTCCTCGCAACCACCCCAGCATCCAAGGGGGCTTCAGAGTATGCAGCCCTCCCCTTTCCTCCCTCCTCCTCCAGATTCTCTCTCCCCAGACCACATCAGCCCCCTTGGGTCCCATTCCCATGGGGGCACCCCAGGCACCCCATCCCACTCTGCCTCTGCCGGCTGCTGACGCACAGAACCCAAGCTCGCAGTCCAGCCTTTCTCCAGCCTTCTTCCCTGTTACCTCTCCTCACCCCTACTAAGAAAAAAAAAGCAGTTGAAGACCCTTTCTTAGCTAACGCCCATGCCCACAAAGGACCTCTTCTCTCCATCTCGCTGTGCCCCCTCCCACTTTACAATACCAGGCTTCTTTCTAGAGGGACCAAAATTAGAAAGGGGAGGGTTCCTGCTTGCAAAGTTTGGGGAAGGGACCTTTTCTCTGGCCTTTTCAGATTCAACCCAGGGCCCTGAGGCTCTTCCAGACTGAAGTCAGGCAGACCAGCTGCTTGCACAGAGCCCCCTTGCTGCTCCCTAGGGGCAGTGGCAAACTGTTGCACTGCGGAGCAGGGAGGCTGTGCGCAAGCTGGGGCCGGGTCAGGGGCGGGGGCCAACACTATGATGGGGGTGCCTGCCCAGGCCTCGGGGTCTGTCCTCCAAACCCATCCACCCAGCCTCCCCACCTTCTAGCAGCACCGCACCCCTCGGTCCCTTACCTGGGGCTGCCAGCTGGCTGCAGGGAGGGAGCCCCGCCGCGCGGCTGCAGTGGCGGCTGCAGAAGGCGCGGAGTGAAGGGGCCAGAGACCTAACCGAGCCGCCGCTGCGCCGCCGCCACCGCTTCGGGGAGCTCAGCTCGCAGCCTATTGCCAGAGAGGCCGGTGACGTCAGGCAGCCACCGCCAGGGCTCCGAGCCACCCCTCAGGCCCCCACCCCACCCTCTTACCCCAACACCTAATCCCGGCAGAGGCGCCTCAGCCACCAGCATTCCCCGCTCCCTGCACTTCTGCAGCCCAGGGGCGAGGAGGATCAGCCCGCCCCCACCCGGAGAGCCGCCCACCTTCCGCACGCCAATATCCTGAAAGGGTTGAAGCTGCACTTCTCTGGCTGCCGGATTCCTCACCCTCAACCTGGTCCACAAAGTCCCTCATCTTTACCCTCCGCGCAAGCATTCCCCGTCCAGGCGCAGGCTGGATGTTCTCCCAGGCCGAGGAGCACCCCTGCTGCCTCCCCAATCCTGTTTTTCTGGGCTGTTTGGGAACAGAAACTACACTGCCCGTGTGAGGGAGGCCAGTGGGGCATTTCTGAAGGCAAGTGTGGCGCTGGCTGGAATGCAAACCTAAACGTGAATTTAACTTTCGCCTCCCCACAGGCATCTCCAACTTATTTTCACTCCACCCGATTCATGACTCTACCTCATACACTCATTTCCAGGCCAAGACCTTCCCTGGAATATGAAACACTTTTGTGCAGAAAACCTGGACCGTCCTGAGCACACACGGACATACAGGGCAGGGGTGGGGGCAGAAATCACCCAGAGCAATGCAGCCATCAACTGTCCCATGAAAATTCCCAGGACCACCTGCCCCTTGTACCAAGAACCCCTTCACTGGCCCCTTTGCTAGTTAAAGAGCTCGGTGTCTGCCATGCTGTGAACAACAACCTTTCCTTCCTCAGAATGGAAGAGAACTTCCTGAAAGCTTCTCAGCAACATGCCGAAATCTGGGCCAAGACTGATAGACCACAGGTCTATCCTTGGGGAAATATGAACAGTGCACTGGTCACACAGTAGCTAGCTTCAAAACAAAGCCTCTCATTTTTCAACTGGAGAAGCCAGCTTCCAAAGCAACTAAAGACAATGGGTGATCTTTGAGGACATTCAGGGTCTTTTAAAGGGGCAGTTTTCTCTTCTCTCCCTGCCTTGTATTCTTCTGAGTCTAACACAGTGCCTGTCCAATACATACTCGCTAGTTGAGACATGCAGTTTATGTTGCTGCGGTTTCCTGCTCTGCACCAGTCCTGGGAGGGTTTTGCAAGAAAGAGGATCTGCTATGGGGAGAAAGGGCTGTTTAAAACTAGGGGTCTCGTCTTCTGACTCCATGCTTCCATCAAGTTCTATCCTGACTATTCCTGTCCTGCCATGACACACATGGAGAAAGACATCATCTCTCCCCGCAATGCTGTTTTCATGTATTTAAGTAAGTCATCAGCATCTCCTTCAAAATTGTCTCAATGTTTAAAAAACATCCCTCTTTGAGCTAATAATTCAGTAATGCTGAAGATTCATAATTGTTTGGGAGTTCAATCAACGTGGTTGGCTTCCAGAGTGAGACCCCAAAGCTGGCTTAGCTCTCCAGCATGGAATGAGCGTATGGGATGCCTTGTAAGAGTCAACTGCCACATCTGAACATTGCAGCTTTGGTGGGGGTGGGTCAGAGGCTAGAACAGTGAGCTTTATCATCACTATAATCACTAAATGAGACTTCACCATTTGACACCTGATTACGCCCCATTTGGGGGCACTCTCTTTGCTCCTGAAAAGTTGAGACTAATCAACATTTTGTAAAGCAAATCCATTTTTGAATACTCTAAAAAGGGATCTAGCTATTTAAGGAGACTCTTTAGAAAAACTGCCTTGTAAAGCAAAGACTCTTTACATAATTAGAATTAACTCTCACTGTTCTGTTTTCTAGACTTGGAGGAATGAATTATCTGGTTTTCCCAGCAAGGAACACACACACCTCTACAGTTTGTTACAATGGGACTACCATGAGTATGTAATGAGATTCCTTTTGCACACAGAGCTTCAAAGACCTATGATAAGGTGGCCATTGTTCTTATCCTTTTGTGATAAACAGTAAGAGTGTCTGCCTACCAGGAATACTAAAGCATCCTCACCCTTGCATACAACCTGTGAAGAGAGATGATCTTGTCCAGGAGAACACTTAGATATGACTCCTGAGACTAAGTTACTTGACTGTGCATGATTTAGGTAGATTAAAGATGTCAATCTCCAGGTCAAAAGCTTTGCATACTTTCCTTCTTCTCATTCAAGAAGATCAGGCTTTAGGTTCCTAATCTGTGTTTCCCCAGAGAATGAATGTGCTAAACTCATCAACTGGTGGGGGGGGGGGGGGCGCAGCTGGACAACAGCTCACAATACCTGCCACCTGTCTTGTCACCAAACTTCTCAAGCCACACTTGCAAGAGCAGAGGACTAAGAGGTTTCTGAGTTTCCCAGAATCTTACCCTGTGACAGGAAAGCGTCTCTGGACTGAAGCACTTTCCGAATATCCAGCAACATATAAAAGTCCCTTTCAAGTTTCATCTCCATCTGGCTTAGAAGACCCTCATGGGTACCTGGCTCCTTAACCCAACAAACACTGATGCCACACCACCACCACTAAGCACTATTATTACTGTCACAGTATTTTTCATGTGCCAGCCTGTCCTGAACTCTCCAAATACTAGCTTGAATCCTCTGTATTACTCTATAGCATTATTTTTTTGCTATAATTTAAAATGATTTATTCATTCACGTATGTGACCAACAAAGATCTGAGCACCTATATAGTATACGAGGAAGCCAGAGCACAGAGTAGTTCAAGACCATGCCCAACTCATTCAGCTGAAGACCAGTAAGTCCTCACTGAAGGACTGAACACTTAAGTGTAACAGTGTATAACAGAGCCAGTGTCACTAGAGGCTGCTTTGTGTAAGATGATCCACACGAGTTCTACTCAGAGAATGAAGATGATGGCAAACTGAAATAGGAACAGCCAGACTTCTAAACCAAGTACTTTACTTGAGCGCTGCTTAAAACACAGGTCTTCCTAAAGCCATCCACACAATTTTTCACTTAGCCAACGAATACTTGCCCTCTCAATGCACAGAACCATGTTGGTGTATTATTTGGGAGGTTCCACTGATTAGTAAGTAGCTGAAACATGAAAAAAAATTCCCCATATGCAGCTTTCAAGTACTCATATCCCAAATCTTCAAGTGCTATGTGTAACCTTCCTCAAGTGTATGTGTCTCCCATTGAAATGTACACTGTCCCCTCTCCTTGCATTTCTCCTACTCTACAAGGACAGACTGATGCTCGCCAACCCCAGTCTTCCTACCGGGCATCCCGGGCAAGGACTGCCTCAAGGATGTAGAACTCCTCAGGGGACGACGGGAAAGCACAGGGGTCTGATGGGCGGTATCTTATTGCATCCGGGACAAATGCCTTTTGTCTGCTCTCTCTCTGTGTTAATTTATCTTAGAATTACATTTAGAAGTGTGATGGTTGTCACAAGGGCACAAGTCTTCCAGTTAATTTAAATTTATTTAAATTGAGAAATGAACCCAAACCTTTTTCCTACAGAAAATAAGCCTGATCAGTCTATTTGAATTGACAGTTTGAGCTGCATTTGCCTGCTAGGTTGTATGGAAGGAGTATTATACAAGTTCAAAGAACTAAATCTATCAGAAGCTTTGACAAAATAACTTAAATATATATAGGGTGTGGAATGTGTTAAAAAAATGGCATCCCTTGCAGCTACCAATGCACGATTTAAAGGGTTTAGATGTCAAATTAAAATATACTAAGGAGTCCAGGAATTTTGAAAACTCTTAAAGAGGGTGCTGGCAAAGCGTTTTGGAGATTTCCACTCCATGCTCATAGCTCCCATGACACCCTCTGGGAAGGTCAGATAGAATAGAGCCATCAGGGCTGTTACAGAGGGGGTCTACTGTTGATGAGGGAGTTGAAGCCGGTAGCTTCCCTGAGATTAAGAAATGCTGAGTGGCCTCTACCATTAGGTGCCCAGCCGCAAACACAGGCTGCAGGTACAAACACGTGCTTTCATTCCTTTATACCTCACCATCAAAGCATCTCCAACCAAGCCTCAGACCCACTTCAGTGTGGGTACTGGTGCAAAGAGGCAAGATTCCTCTGGCTACACGATCCTTGACTACAAAACTCATTCACTTGATAAATCTTCAGTAAGTGCCACAAACTGTACAAGGTGTTCAGCTTCAATGTGGTGGAAAAAAAGTCTCCATCAGCAGAAAGTTGCATTCTAGCAACACAGGGTCACAATATGATTTTTTGGCCAAAGGAACGGAACAGAAACAGTCCTCTCTTTCTCTAATATTTTTAATGAAGTATCATTCATGTCAACTAGGTTGGCCAGTAGATGTGGCGCTATGGTAGAAGGGTCAAGATAGCTCAGCTGGCAGGTGTCAACTAATTCCTAACAGCTGCATGAGCAATAGATCCTGGAAAATGCAAGTTCTGGATCCTGGTCAGAAACCTAGCAGCATATGCTTCTTTCAAGTGTATCAGGCTGTGAATTTGCCTGAAAGAGAAACTGAAAATATTTCCACCATGCAGAAAAAGCCATGCCTACAACAGGATTTCCCAGCCTCAGCAGCACTGGCATATGGGGGTCAATGTAATTTCTAGTACACTGTAGACTGTTCTGGTCAGTAGATCCCTAAAAATAGTCTTCTAAGATTAAATTCCCTGGTTATTCAACCAAAAACTAATCTAGGTACAACTAGGAAGAGATTTTTGTACATGTGACTGGTCTCTGTTATTTTCAGATCTGGAAATTATTCAGACTGGCCTGAACCAACCTGGTGAAATTTTTCCAAGAAAGGTTTCAAAGAATGCAGAGTTAAAGCATGAGGGGGATTCAATATGTTAGAAGAGAGAGGGGAACATGAGCACATTAACGTGGTGCTGAGAACGTCTGACAACCAGCATGGGAATGAGGGTCTCAGTCTCACCACTGCAAGGCAATGAATTGTGCCAAACTGAATGAGCTTAAAAGTGGATTCTTGCCCAGAATTCCTGTGTAATCTTGCCCAACTTGGCTGACAAGATTTCAGCCCTGTGAGTCTCTAAGCAGTGAACCTGGGCAAGTAC